AACCGGGATTATCCTTCTCCTGACGGAGAGAGGGAGGTTGAGGCCTACCGGTAGGCCCCTGGGGTTGTCCCTCGGTTACCGGGGTCTGCGGGACCGGGGTCTACGCTGCGTGTGTGTGTGTGTGTGGGGCTACAGGCCTGTCCCCGTGCTCTGTGGCGGTGTCACCCGTGTCGCCACGGCGTGTGGTGGCTCCGTCCCTGTCCCCGTGTCCCCACGGCGTGTGGCCGGCACCAGCCCCCTCTTCCCCTTGTCCCCCACGCTACCCGGGGGCTCCATCCCTGTCCCCGTGTCCCCCGTGCCACGTGGTGAATGCCAGCCCACCCTGCGTGGAGGCTTCGTCCCTCGTCCTCGTGTCCCTGCGCTGCTTGTCGGTGCCAGCCCTGTCCCCGTGTCCCTGTGCCAAGTGGCGATGCCACCCCTGTCCCCATGTCTCCACACACCAGTGCCACCTCTGTCCCTGTGTCCCCACACCGTGTGGTGATGCCACCCCTTTTCCCACACGCCCACACGCCGGTGACACCCCTGTCCCCCCATCCCCACTCTCCACGTCAATGCCATCCTCTCCCATTTTACCCCCCTCGCCGGTCCCCTCTGCCCCCTGCTCAGGCTGGTGACAGCTCTGTCCCCATGTCCCCATCCCATGTGGTAGTGCCACCCCTGTCCCCCTATCCCAATGCCATGTGGCGATGCCACCCCCATCCCCACCCCCCCACGCTACATGGCAGTGCCACCCCTGTCCCCGTGTCCCTGTGCTGCCTGGCAGTGCCACCCACGTCCCCACGCCACGTGGGCCGTGCCAGTCTCTCCCACCACCCCGCTCCCCCCCAGTCCGTACCCCCACCGGTCCCTTCTGACCCCTGCTTGGGCTGGTGACAGCCCTGTCCCCAGCCTGGAGCAGATGCTGGCCGCCAACCCCGGGAAGACGCCCATCAGCCTGCTGCAGGAATATGGCACTCGCATAGGCAAGACCCCCGGCTACGACCTCCTGAAGGCCGAGGGACAAGCCCATCAGCCCAACTTCACCTTCCGTGTCACCGTTGGGGACATCAGCTGCACCGGTGGGTCCCTGACACCCTCTGCTTCCAGGGTGTCCCCCTGCCTCACCTCCCTCACCCCCACGCCGGCAGGGGGTGAGGTGGGGGGACAGCCCAGAGAGGGTGACCTGGGGTGGATCTTGCTTGCCTGGGACGTGGAAGAGGGCGGACAGTGAGGATACGGGGATTGTCCCCAGGATGGTGGGGATGTGCTGGGGGATCCCTAAAAAAGTGGGTCCTGGTGGGGGATCCTCTGGGATCTGTAAAAAGCAGGGTCTGGTGGGGTATCACCTCGGACCCCCATGCTTGGGACACTCAGGGGTTCCCTGGGACCCCTATAAGTGGGTCCTGGTGGGGGATCGCTTGGGACCTCGATACCTGGGGATCCCCTGGGGCCTCAAAAAGTGGGTCCTGGTGAGGGATCACCCAGGACCCCAATGCCTGGGACACTCGGGGACCTCCTGGCACCCTGCTGCCGGGGTTATGGCAGAGGGATCCCCCAGGGCCCTGACCCCTGGGCTGTGGCAGCCGTAAGCACAGCCCGTGGTCTGCGAGGGGTCTGGGGGGGCCCCAGGCATCCCCCCCAACCCTCGCTCAGCCGGTGTCTCCCCCAGGGCAGGGGCCCAGCAAGAAGGCGGCGAAGCACAAAGCGGCCGAGGTGGCCCTGAAGCTGCTCAAAGGGGGGGACATGCTGGAGCCCACTGCCCCCGAGGAGCCCAGGTGAGGGGGGGACGGGATCCCCAGGGTGCTGGAGGATCAGGGTGGGGGTCAGGGTGCAGCGCAGGATGGGGTTGGAGGGAGCGGGGGGTGGTCTGGTGTGTGCTGGGTGCACAGGGGAGGGTGTTGAGTGTGTCCAGGAGGTGCTAGGGGAACTTTGGGGTGATGGGTGGGGGGTGCGCAGGTGGTCTGGGGGTACCCAGGGGGTTGGGAGTACCCCAGGGGTGCTGGGCACCCAGGCCTGGTGCGTTTGTGGGGGGCCTGCAGGGGCTTGAGGGTATCTAGGGGAGTTTGGGGGTACCCAGGGTGATTGGGGGTGCTGGAGGACTTGTGCATCCCAGGGGATTTGGGGGGTTTGGGCAGCTCAGTTGAATCTGGGGGGGCCGGGGTGGGGGTTGAGGTGGTGGGGGATTAGGGGTGTCTTAGGGGAGCCAAGAGACTTGGGGATGCCTGGGTGGGGGCTAGGAATACCAGGGGATCTGGGGTCCCAAGGGAATTGGGGGTGCCTGGCAGGATTTGGGGCACCCGAGGGTCTGGGGGTACCTGGGGCATCGGCAGGGAGAGAGGTTTGGGGGGGCCAGCTCGGGCGTTAACGTCTCACCTTTTATCCCCAAGCTCTCCTTTCCCCCCAGAGCCCCCGGTTGAGCTCGGCCCCGTGGCCACCCCCCCAGCACCCGCCGCGCCCCCACCCTCGCCCAGGTAATGGGGTGGGGGGCACCCAGGTGCCGGGCCTGGGCAGGGGGAGCACAGTGCCCCCCCAAAAGCTCAGCTCCCGGCACCCCGTTACACCTCCTTGCCTCCCCAACCTGGGGGTCCTGGCATGGGGGAGCTCAGAGCTGTCCCCACGTCGTGCCCCCCTCATGCCGTGCCCGTCTGCCCTACGCAGGGGCACCCCCCTGGAGATGAAGACGCCCGTGTCCCCCCCCCAGTCGGAGTGTAACCCCGTGGGGGCTCTGCAGGTGGGTGACACCACGGGCTGTGACAAGAGGAGATGTGCCCCTGCCGCCCCGACTTGGTGGCTGTCCCCGTTTTGGGGCTGACGAGCCTGTTTTGGGGATGGCCATCCCTATCCGGGGGGGCCATGCCCCTTTGGGGGTGACCTTACCCATTTTAGGGGTGGCGGTGATGTTTGGGGGTTTCCTCTCCCCAGCTGGGGGGTGCTCTTGCCCCTTTTGGGGACGGTTATCCCTGTTTTGGGGATGGTGGACCTATTCTGGGGACAGTTCTCCTTGTTTTGGGGTCAGTTCTCCCCATTTTGGGGATGTTTATCCCCATTTTGGGACTAGTTATCCCTGTTTTGGGGACAGTGGATGCATTTTGGGGACGGTTATCCCCATTTTGGGGACAGTTATCCCCATTTTGGGGACAGTTATCCCCATTTTGGGGACAGTGGACCCATTTTAGGGACTATTATCCCCATTTTGGGGACGGTTATTCCCATTTTGGAGGCAGTGGACCCATTTTGGGGCTGGGCCCACCTGTTTTGGGGATGGCAGCTCCTTTCTGGAGGCAGCTCTCCCCATTTCAGGGGGGGGGTCTGTGGCCCTGCCCTCCCCAGACCCCCCCATTTGTGTGTCATCCCCCCCCCGCCAGGAGCTGGTGGTGCAGAAGGGCTGGCGCCTGCCCGAGTACACGGTGACACAGGAGTCGGGGCCGGCGCATCGCAAGGAGTTCACGATGACCTGCCGCGTGGAGCGCTTCGTGGAGATCGGTACAGGGCCGGGGCAACCCCCCTCCACCCCCCCAACCCTGGGTACGTGTCGGGGGACACGACAGGGTGCCAGGCTCACCTCGGTGTCCCTTGTCCCCTCCCCGCAGGCAGCGGCACCTCCAAGAAGCTGGCGAAGCGCAACGCGGCTGCCAAGATGCTGGTGCGGATCCACAACGTCCCCATGGAGCCACGGGAGGGCAGCGAGGCCGAAGTGGAGGAGGACCAGTTCTCCATGGTACTGGCCAGTGAGGGGTTAATGGGGGACACGGGCACCCCGAGACCACCCCGGGGGGGCCAACGGGGGACACAGGCACCCCAAGATCACCCTGGGAGGTTAACAGGGGACATGGGCACCTCTGTACCCCCTATTTCAGGGCTTATGGACCCCCAATGATTAAAGTTGGGGGGGCAGTAGGGCAGGGGGACACTCAAGGGTGACCTGGGGGGGGGGCCCTCTGGATTTGGGGTCCCTGGCTGGGTGGGCTTGATCCCCATGGAAGGTGCTTGAATAGGGGGGGAGGTCCTGCAGTTCCTAGGTCCCCATGTCTCCCGAAGGGACACTGCGTGGGGGTCCCAACAGCCCCCACATTACTGGCATGGCCCTACATTGGGGGTCCCTGAGCCCCCTTGTCCCCAAAGGGGTCCCCATGTCTGGGGGTCCTGGCGGTGTCTGAGCCACTGTGTCCCCACATAGGGTCCCTATGGTTCCTGAGCCCCTGTACCTCAAGGGTGTCCCTGCACGGGGGTCCTGGTGGTCCCCGAACCCCCACGGGTGTCCCTGTGTTGGGGTCCCTGTAATTCCCAAGCCCCCATGTCCCCACGTGGGGGTCCAGAGGGTCCCTGAGCCCCCGTGTCCCTGCATGGGACTCTGGGTGGTCCCTGAGCCCCCACATCCCCGTGCAGGGGTCCAGAAGGTCCCCAAGCCCCAATGGGGGGTCGGGATGGTCCCCGAGCGCCCTGTCCCCACAGGCAGGCCCCAGGCTGGAGGGTCTGCGGGGCCGAGCGCCCGGCTGCACCTGGGACTCCCTACGGAATTCGGCGGGTGAGAAGATTGTGCAGCTGCGGAGTCACCCACTGGCACCCATGGGTGCGGGGGCCTGCGCCCTCCTGCAGGAGCTCTCCGAGGAGCAGAGCTTCGCCATCAGCTACCTTGACATCGGTGAGCATCCCCTCCTCTCTGGGCACCCCACCAAGACCCATGGGTGCCTCCGCCTGGGCTTGTGGGGGGGTGTTGTGGGTGGTTTGCGGGGGTGGGGTGGGGGGTTAGGGTGATGGTGGCCCGTCCCCATGTCCGTCTGTCCGTCCCCCAGATGCGTTGAGCCTCAGCGGGCTGCACCAGTGCCTGGTGGAGCTGTCGACGCAGCCGGCCACGGTGTGCCACGGCGCGGCCCCCTCCCGCGACGGTGCCCGCTCCCAGGCCGCCCGCAACGCCCTCCAGTACCTCCGCATCATGGCGGGGGGCAAGTGAGCCCCCCCCACTCCACCTACCCACTGACACCCGGACGGACCCACAGACACTCCGACAGACCCACAGATGGACCCCTGGACTCACTGACCAACACACGGACCTCGGGATGGATGCCTGGACCCACTGGTGGGCACCCAGACCCACCCACGGACACCCAGACAGACACCCAGCCCCACTGACACACCCTGTGGGCACCTGGACCTGCTGACAGACAGACGGACAGACATGTGGCCCCCCAGACGGAGCCCTCAGGGCCCGGGGGCACCCTCCGTCCTGGACCCCCCGGGAGCAAGGAGGGTCCCCAGGCGAGCCCCCGGGAATAAAGCTGGGGGGGTTTGTAAACTCCCCGCGTTGGTGTCTTTTTGGGGGGGCTGGGGGACATTTGGGGGGGGGGGGGGAGAAAGGGGGGAGGTCTCCCCCCGAGTCCTCCAGGGGCAAAACCAGAGCAAGTGTTCAGGGGTGAGTGGCAGCAGTTTATTGGGTGACGGATGAACCCACGGACAGACGGACTCAGGGACGGACTCACGGACGGCTTTCCAGACGGACAGCTCCAGGAACAGACAGAAGGATGGATGGACGCTCAGCGGCGGCGGCCGAAGCGCTGCGGCGTCGCCATGGTCCAGAACGGGGCGGCCGGAGGGTCCCAGCTGCGGGGGCTGAGCCGGGCCTGGGACCCCCCCTGCAGCCCCCGCCCGAACCTGCGGTGGGGACACTGCACCGCTGACACCCGCCAACCAGGACAGACGGACGGGGACGGACGGATGGATGGGGATGGACAGACAAGGGATGCACAGGCACAGATGGGGTCAGAGGGACAAAAGGGGACAGAGGGACAGAAGAGGATGGACAAACGGACAGGGCTGGGCACGATGGGGACAGACAGACAGAAGGGGATCAATGGAGCCAGCGGGACGGACAGACACAGATGGGAACAGACGGAATGAGGGACATGGCTGGGGACGGACGTACATGGACGGACGGACACCAACGGGCACCCCCATCCCGGCACTGGTCAGGCTGCCCCCCATCCCCTCTGGGTGCCCCCAAACCGCCCG